CCCCAAAACCCCAAAACCCCAAAACCCCAAAACCCCGGGGTGGAGGATTTAGGTGGATTTGGTTTTAAAATTATTTTGGAAATTTTGTGATTGGGATTAGCCTTAATGGGGACTGGAAGGGAAGTTTATACTGAAGGATTTGGGCATTTTCATGGGAAATAGCATTCAACTGTGGTACCGATACCTTCTTCTGACGATAGAGTGATCTTTCCACCCATTTTTTCTATCAGTTTCTTGCAGATTGTAAGGCCTAACCCACATCCTGTCTTGTTTCTGTTATGGTTTGAGCTGAGCTTGCTAAAGAGTTTGAATAGAGATTTTTGGTCAACTTTGGAAATTCCGATGCCAGTATCAATTACACTCAAACTAATCATGATTTGGCTATTAAACTCAATAGGATCTTCCTCTCTTTGTAATTCTTGGAAACGGGATATATTAGTTTTGAAGAAGTAATTTTTACAGTCATTTTTAGAGAAGAAATTGTTAGACATTTCTAAAGGTTCAGCTAATATATCTTACCTGATCAATTCATGCTTCCATTAAAAGCGTTCCTTTCATTATCATAAAATTTCGATTCTTCAAGAGGTTCCTCCTCCCTATCCCTCTCTTTATCACAAATTTTGATTGTGATTGATCCATGATCTGTAAACTTCAGAGAATTTGAGGCTAAATTTAGCAATACTTGCTTGAGCCTTTGTTTATCAGACAATATAGGAAGCTCCTTCAAATTCTCTTGAATGTCTATTATTAGTTCAATTCCTTTGCCATCAGCTTGAAGAGTGAATACTTCTTGAATTTCTTGGATACACTGAGTCATGGTGAAGGCTTCTTCGTTAATCTGGAACACTCCTGATTCTATCTTTGCGTGATCCAAAATATCTTCCACCAGCATTGAGAGGATACTTCAAGAGGATGAAGCAATCTGCACAAATCTGTTATTTTTGCCATATTCTTGAGTTCTCATTAGCTCCAGAGAGGCCATGATAGAGTTCAGAGGGGTCCTGAACTCATGGGACACATTAGAGAGCATCTGTCGCTGATAGTGATTCTGTGCCTTAGCTTCTTCAAGCTGGCTGATTTGAGTGGTGTCTATAAACATATGAATATATGAAGAATCTTTTCCTGAAGAACCAGCTCCATCAACAGTCGTTGTCTTGACTATGAATTCCCTATTCTGTTGTTCATGTTGTTCTCCAAGTCCATCAAGCTCATATTTTACTCGTATTTTGGACTCTTTACTTCAATCCATCCCTTCAATTAGCGACTTCCGTTCTGCTTGCAAGAAGAAGCCAAGAGTTTTATTTCTTCTTCTGTAGTCATCAAAATCCTGAATTCTTTGGTCATCACTTTGATAAGATTCGTCTTGTTGATTAAACTGCTTTCTCCCATCTTGGCCGAATTTTGAACTTGTGCACTTAACATAATATTTTTCAAGCAAGTTGGCCAATGATTGGTTGGAAGAAACTCGAGCTTTACTTTTCAATTGTGAATCGAAAACTGAAAAATCTTCCACAATACTGTCAAGCCTCTTGTTGGTGCTATCTTGAACAACATTTACAATATCTTGTACTGATTCGGATCTACAGAATCCTTTTATATTGAGAGTCTGTTTAATTTTAGAGTTCACATATTTATACTCATTGTGCTTGTTAGCAATGAGAACTCCTTCAGGTAGACAGTTCAGGATTTCCTTTTGTCCTTTTAAAGTTTTCTTGTTGTTATAGCTAGCAATGAACTCATCCTTCAAAGTTATCGAGTAGCAATATGACCCAAAAATGAAGAACACCAAGGCATATATTGTGCCAAGATAGTAAACATCACCGAGGGCTCCAAATTTATTGTTGAGTCTGATGCAACCATAGAGATGCAACAGTCATTGGTTGATTCAGCATGCCTTCCAATTAGTCGCTACAAATGTGCTGAATGTATAAGCCACCATTATTTGTAGCAGGTATGCTTCGTATAGCCTAAAATTATGGTTCTAAACTTACCTGAAAGTCTCTAACTTGAGGTTGGCTTCAGTCATCTGAATATACATAGCTGATGATATGTAAATTCCTGAATAATTGATTATCCAGTCGTGTTTCATAAGTCCTCTGGGCATGAAATGCATGAACAAAATTTTTGCTGATAAAAAGATTATTCGAGGCCAAAATGGTTCCTTTTGAGTCACCAAAACAAAGATTAATAAAGAAAGAAACACATATTTCAATACTTGAGCTAGAACCTTCCAGTTATTTTCTACTATGAGCCAGCTTCTTATTGTAGTATTCTCTCTGAAGATTTTGGTCATCCGGGAACTCCTCAAGCCAATATTTTAGAGATCTAAATGCTTCTTTTAGACTCCAAGTGTTTTTTCTTCCAAAGAATGGAGCTTCCTAAAAATAATATTTTAGGCTATTTAAATATAAATGCTATATTTTAAAAGTGTGAATATGGTTTAACAAATTTTATATTTTTAGAGATGATTCTTGGCAATTATCTCTAAAAATTTGCATGCAAGATTCAAGACAAAAAGTTCAAAACAATTCTAATTGCCTAATAAACACTCCCAAATGCTAATTTTCTCCCTTAGTAAAACCTAAAATCTCTTAAAACAAAAAATAAATTAATAAAACTAAAATCATCTTCGAAGTATTAAAATAATGATCTCTCTTATCCCCTAACACCAAGTTAACCTTCTACACATCTCTACATTCATTCAGCACTGAAAAACTCTTAAAATCCAGTCTCAGACCCTAACCCTGCCATACCAAATACCATATCTCCCCAAACACCCTCACCCTTCTTCTACCCCTACTCCCCCCCAACCCATCATGACCTTTCTTATTTCTAAAAATCCCCCAAACCCCACTCAAAACCCCCACTTTTACACTGCGTCCCTTCCAAGTCTCAGTCTTGTCCTCTTACCATTTCTATATGGATTATTCAAAATTTGTTATATGGGAAGGGGTTTTGGGGTTTTGGGGTTTTGGGGTTTTGGGG